ATCGAATTTTTTGTAATCCATGATAGAATTTTTTGAAAATTTGTGATTTTTTTTTTTTAATCCATGATCGAATTTTTTTTTGTAATCCATGATAGAATTTTTTGAAAATTTGTGATTTTTTGTTTTTAATCCATGATCGATTTTTTTGAAAATTTGTTTTTTTTTAAAAAATCCATATTATTTAAAGAGAAAATGAGAAAGATGATGATTTTGAGGCCACCCTATCCCAGCCATATTATTCACATATCGAGTCCCAACAGCAACAATGTAGAGATGAGCACGACAGTGCAGGTGAGCATGAAGGATGGACAATCTTCGGGGATTTTAGATTGGAAACACAACAAAACATTAACACTCGGGGATTTGAGAATAGTCAGACGCCTGCTAATATCGATGATTCGTTTTTAGATCGAATCAATGAATTGTTAAACGAATTCAATCAATGGCACCAGCGTGACCAAGAAGAACAATAACGTCGTCTATCATTTTATTTTTAGATCATATGTTACTAATTTTATGCTTTATTGTAGTCCATGTATGTTGATATACTTATTCCATGATAGTTCTATGTTTATCCTTTTGTGTGCTGTAAATTAAATGTTGAATGGCGGCTCATGCAGGGAAAGAACATATCAATATTCGCATATTCATTCAAAAACATGAAAATTCTTAATGGAGTACCCTCATTTCTTATTGAATTCCTAAAAAGCAATATTTATAATGAATTTTAATAATTTTTTCGGATTTTTTTTTAAGCTTTATTCTGACCGATTCACCCGATTCCCGATCCGAATCGCCGATTCGTCGATCTGGATAGATTTTTTGGGAACCCGATCCGGATCACCGATCCGTTTTTTAAACTATTGCCTAAAACCCTCATGCATTGTTTTTTTTTTTCCATCTGCTTTATTTATTTATTTATTTATTTATTTATTTATTTATTTATTTATTTTTTCTGTATATTTATCTAATATTTTTTTAGTTTCTATAGATCCTCATCATCTATCTATTTTAATTTTAATTTTAGTTTTTAATTATAAATAATTTTCTAAATCACCCCCTCAAAACCCTTGAGCCCCCTATCCCACGTAGATCCCATTTTGAACCCTATCCCACGTAGATCTATTAGATGAATAATCTACCCTACCGATCTGAGTTTGATCCAAACAATGAAATCGGGAGCTCTCAACTGCAAGAGCATGCTTGTTGCAAATATACGGACGAGCAAAAGGGATCATTTAGAACTTGTTCACATGCAAGTTTAATGTGATGCAAATTGAGATTAGTAATTTTTGGGGATAATTTAATGCAATAGATCCTAATTTTCTATCAGTTCCTCATGTTTAAACATATCTTTTTAATTTTCTAAAGTTCCACTCTATAGTCAATAGTAATTTTTCCAATGAAAACTACTTGCATTATTTTCAACAAGGATTCGTATTATTAGATTTTGGACAAGTTAAACGTTTATTTCATCTTAGTTAGAAAGTACAAATTTATGAGGAAAAAAAGCTATTTAAATAATTTCATGAAACAGCGGACAACCACAATGATACCCGAGGTCCCGTAAAAACTTTTCCTTTCTCTAAACCTTTTTTTTTAACATGCGAAAAAAACTGGAAAGGAAAATATAGACACGTTGAATATTTTTTTGAATGTGATAGAGGTGTTAGATTTTACAAGTAAATAGTTGCGAAGCTATTATAGATCTTTATTTATTAAGTTTTCGATCATTGGTGGTGACGCTTACTTATGGACTGTTGCAGGCTTATAAAGAAAGGAGAAGTGGTTCGGTCTGGCACCGGGGGGCGAGGAGACCCATTTCTTTACGAGGTAATTTGTATTCATTTTCTTAGGGGAAATTTTAAATCACCCAATTCGTACTTCTTAATCATATCCTCTTAAATTTTTTGATACAACACTATTAACCTCAATATTGTTTATTTTACATTCACTTTTCAAGTAAAAAAGTTGACTTTGTCCGAACCAAACTACCCCTATTTTAACCCATGTTTCCCAAATGTGACTCCCAACATATGCCGGTCCAAAACATTTTTTGTGTCGGACTAGCTTGTGTTCGTGTGGGATATGACATCTAAAAAAGGTTTCAGTCCAACACAAAATGTGTCAGACTAGCTTTTGATATTCAAATTCTGCTAGTCCAGCACAAAATACGCTGGATCGGCTTCTATATTCAAGTTATGCTTTGTGCGGGACTGGCTTAGAGTGTCGGAAATGCGAGTTTAAACTAGAGTATTTTGATGCACAAAAATTTAACTTTTTTTTATTAGGGGTGTGGATGCAAAAATAAACAACGTTAGGGGTTTTATTAACGTGGTATCAAAAGTAATTTTTGTTTTTTGGGTTTTATTTTTTTGTAGGGCGAGGAGGTGCCTATAAAGTCCAATTTGGGGGTGTTTCTATAACTTTCCATTTTTTTACCCCTTTTAGTCATAATTTATTTTTCAAATGGATTTTTGTGCCTAGAAAGTCTAATTTGGAGGTGTTTCTATAATTTTCCATTTTTTTACCTCTTTTAGTCATCATTTATTTTTCAAAAGATATTCATTTAGGAGATTTATCAAACTATATATTGCATTTGAACTATTTGATATTTACCAATAATTTTTTTCATATAGTTTCAAATGACCCATCATTCTTTTGATCAAATTCAAATAGCCATCACCTTACGTAACGCATCAAATTTTTTTCTGAAAATTTTTAAATTAGACTTGGGTGAAAAGTATAAATGGAAAAAGTTTATATAAGGGCGAGACTCTAAACAATCAAATTAGGGCGCACCTTAAAAATCCAATAGAAAAGAATATTTCAAAGCCCAAAAATCCTCAAATTGGTTATCTCGATGTATGAACATGAGAAAAAAATGGAGTTCAAGTATTAGAAATAGTCCATCATGTAAAGTATTTCTGGACCGTCAATTTTCAAGAGTTTTAAATATTCATAGATCTGCTTAATCTACACTATTTTTGAAGCTTTAAATTTTATAATTAGATATGGAAATAAAGTTTCAAGCCAAGACAAAGATTTGTAGTACCACAAAAAGAAAAATTCCAACTTTAAAGGCGTGTGTTACTTTGATTGTTTGGAGCCTCGACCCTATACAAACCACACCCAGATTAAATAGTTCAACTATTCAGTGTATTTTAATTGATTTTCCTCTTTATTTACATACTAAACAATAATAATTATCTTGCATAATTCAACAATACATAATCCTGATTTGCTATAGGTTGCGGCCCCGAAATGACTCGGAATCACAGGGGATAAAGAACGCTTACCAAAACCGACGTAATTGGTACAAGTCGATTCACGTTTCATTCATTATTTTTGCTGACGTTTCCAGGAAATTTGATCAACTTCGGTAAGGAAAAACAAATTTCTGAAAATGGGTATAGATATTTTAGAAAAAACTTTGTTGATTACAGGAAAATAGCAATAAGATTGCAACAACCCAAAAAAAAAAAAAGGGAATTGGGTTTGAAGGTTGTTATTTGTAAGCAATTTTGGGGGTCCTTTATTTTGTTTTAGTGCAGTGTATTTGGGGAGTGCTGTTACACGTAGTGCTTTAAATGATCAAGAGTTGGTACTACCGCTGGACATAGTGAGAACCCGTCCATTGCTGGATGTGGGCCCACACATCTTTTTGATTTATAATGAATGATGTGGATTAATATGCCTTAAAGAACAACGTTGAGAAATGCCATGCTTCCTATTTCTTCTTTTTCTTCTTTCTTCTTTTTATTGATAGCCATTTTTTTTATAACTGTTTTACCTTTTTAATTAGATATAAGAAGACTGATTGAAGAATAGAGATTAATTTTGGTTGAATTTCCAGGAGATTAGTCGTTTTAGAAACTTACAAAAGAAGTTTGGGCAAACCAAAACCTTACTGCTATCCGGGTATTTTCGGTGGGGATTTTTATTCGGATATTATAGTATTTGTCTCTTTATTGGGAATTAATTGGACAAACAAAAATCATTGGGGCTTTTAATATCAAACTAATGTATTTTTTTTTATGAGATGATTTTTTAATTTTTATTAGTATTAATAAATAAGTTCAAAATCTACACAATTTAAAACATAAATTTACTGAACATTTAATAAATGATAATATGGCAATAATCCCTGGTATTTTTCAAAAATGAAATATCAAAAATCTATTCAACTTAGAAGTTATTGTGACAAAATAGAGATAAATTGAATTTAGAAAAATTTTCGTAATATCAATAAGAGATGAGCTATTAACATTCTACCTATCTAAATTGATTTAGTTTTAAGATACTCATCAAAAGATACATGAACAAGAGTTGGAATAGTGGCAAATGTATAAAATGTTAAATAATTGATCTTTCTATATTTTTTTATAACTTTCCATTGAATTTAGGTTATAATTATCAGAAAAGCTGCAATACAAGCCCTCCCCGCGTGCCACAAATGACCTACGAATAGGATTCTTCCTATAAAAAAATGAGAGGTAGCTAACCAAAGAGACATAATTGACTGCATTGATCTCGGTAGCTACGCCACCTACGGAATTTCAATAACCTAAAGGAGCATGGGTCAACTATTCCGCGGAACGCCGTTCTTGCCAAGGTTGTATGTCTTTGTCTACTCAAGGACCTCTTAAAGCATTCCAAGTTTTTCTTTTGGAAACACCTTATGACATTTTCGAACATGGTATTCCCTGATAAACTCATTGCTAATTTCTGTTTTTCTTTCAAATAGTGAAAAGATATTGTGATACCTTTTCGATTACTATTACGGGTAACCAAAGAAGATCCAAAAAAATTTTATTAAAATTTCCTCTAATGTTTTTGTGGGGCTAGACCACTTAATTATATGGTCGGGTTAGACCTCCTAATTAAATCGATTTTTATATTTAAGTTAGTGTGAAATATAAAACTTGTGTCCACATCAGCATCATCATCATCATAAGAGCTTTTTTCCAACTATTCAGGGTTGGCTACATGAATATTGATACCTCATTATGTTCTGGTCGTATCTTCAGTGAGGCCATAAGTCCCCATATATTTTTTCACTACTTCCGACTATGTCTTTTTGAGCCCATCTCTTGCAATTTTTTAGCTTTGCACTTGAATTACCTCATGTATACATAAACATTCCTATTTATAAGAACCTTCATTTAATAAAATAATTAAAAATAAAAATTATCAAACCCCTAATTATATTATGGTCATCGTTACGTCAAAGCTTTTTCTTACTACTTCCAACCATGTCGATTTAAGCTTACCTCTTGCCCTAATTAAAAATATTAAGGTAAAAAGTACAATTTTTGCAATAGATAATTCTTTGCATAATGAAAAGGAAAAAGTTTATCAAGGTTGCAACCCTAAAATGTAGAATTACAAATGCACCTCAACAATCTATCAGAAAGGTTGTTTTAATGTTTAATAACCCTGTAATTGATCATCTCGACATTGAAATGTATGAATATGAGAAGAATAAAAAAAAGAAGTTTTTGAGTCCTAAAAATAGTGCATCTTGAAACACATTATCAAGACTGTCCATTTTCAAGATTTTCATATGTTTATAGATCTACTTGATTTGAACCAATTTTTTAGTTTAAAATTTTTCTAATTAGATATGAAAATAGATTTTAAAATAATCCTAAGAAATGTTTGCAATAAAATTACATATTACCATAAGAATTGTTTAAGGTTGCAAGCTTATAGAAACCACACCCTAATGAAAAGCCTATTGGTGCGATTTGTATAGAGCCTAGGCTGTAAACAATCAAATTAGAGCCTACCTTCAAATAGTGTCGAGAAATGTGGTTTCAATATTGAAAATCTTTTTAATAGCCTTAAAATTTATGGTCATCTTTATTTATAACGTTTAAAGCTTCAAAAATGGTGTAAATTGAGAGATCTATGAAAACATCAAAATCTTAGAAATTGACAGTCCAAAAATGTGTTACAAAATACGCTATTTCTTAAACTTGAAATCCATTTTTTTCTCATGTCCATGCACCTTGATGTGGAAATGATCAACTTGAGGATATTTGGGCATCAAAACAATGTCTTCTAGTGAAAATTTTGAGATAGGCTCGAATTTGATTATTTAGAGACTTGGCTCTATATAAACTTTTGCCTTTTCTTTATTACTATGTTTTCAAATGTTCTTTCTTCCCTGAGTTTTTGGGAATAGAGAAATTGAATGAGGTTTAAATAAGGGATCCAACCGATTGAAGAAATTTAACGATTTCATTCTAACAATTCAATGCATCTCCTTGGGTTCTAAAAATCATTTTGTGTAATGGCCCCACGTGATATGATAATAAATACAACACCACCCCTGTTGTGGAATGAAATTAGTTGTTAGAACAGCATGTATGTGGGTTCATAATTATACAAAAGAAAACAAATGTCGGTCCAAATCCCCAGCCTACCTACCCCATTCGCAGAGAGAACAAGAGAGACACTTATTTGAAATGGCAGTGCTGTAGAACTGCTGCTTCATGGAGAGGAAGAGAGCGACTCATTTAAAAGTGTAGTAGAACTGGAGAGAGAGAGAGAGAGAGAGAGAGAGAGAGAGAGAGAGAGGTA